AGGCTGATGGATGGATGGATGGATGGATGGATGGATGGATGGATGGATGGATGGATGGATGGATGGATGGATGGATGGATGGATGGATGGATGGATGGTGTAGTTTTATTCCTTCAGTATTATTTTAAACTCTTGTGAAATAAAGCCTGAATGAGCTGAGGCAGAGTGTGACCTGACTCCTTACAGAAACAGTTCAGACTGTTTTTTCCTTCAATGATTCACTGAGTTTTTCCAGTTTCAGACTTGGATGTTACCACTGCAAGGTCTGAAAGAAGCAGAGGCAGCGTGCTCATGCACCCTGTGTTGGTTTGCTGAATTCAATTTAGCCGTCTGTGCTGCCACACAAGTGGGTAAAATGAGATTTCTTTCACCTGCTTACTTCACAAAGTGTGAAAAAAGGCCTGAGAAAAGGGGCTGTTGTTTCAGAGCTCTGAAATTAGATGAATTGTACGGATTCAGTAGCTTTCTTTCTTCCATTGGCAAACTTTGTAAGAGCCCTAGTCCCCTGTGACAGGCTGACTAACAAGATATTTTAACCGGAGAGGAAAGTGCACCAACAGCGCAGCATTCTTATCCTCTATTATGACGACTGCAGCCGAGTTAAAATTAGATATGGACGTGGAACACAGGGGTACGGAGAAGAAAGAATGTACGTAGATTGATGAAATATTTGTTCAGAGGAAAGAAAGACACTTTGACTCTTTAATGCAAGCGTATCTGAGACTTTACATCTGCGAGTCAGGAACAAGTGTGGGCACAGCTAAACGGAGATGGTACACAGAGGAGTCAGTGTTCGCACACATAAAAATTCAACTTTTTTTTCCTTCAAATCTAACCAAGACGCACGGTGTGGGGGCGTTTGGCTGCTCAGATTCAGGGAGTTTGTGCTGTAGGCAGGGGGAGGGATTGCAAACAGGGGAGGAGGATGCTTTTGTATCACTCACTGGGTGTTTTTGGCAGCTTGTCGTCCTTTGTGATTGGTAATGTGCCTCAACCTCGGAGCGCCAGGAAAAGCTTGCTCTTTACCTGCGTGGGTAGATTTCCATCTTCTCCACTTGACATTTCTGAGATAATTTTTGCCTTCCATTATTTTAGTCCTTTCTGATATGAAAAAAAAAGGGAAACAACTTCCAGAAACGTTGTTTCGGAGGGTCTGTCACAGACGGGATTTATGGGAAACAGACGCGCTGCTGCTGCTGCAGAAGCAGCTACATTATTTCACCAATCTCCCTGTGAATCTGTGTAAAGACACTGTTTTGTCAGCGTGACTCTGCCTCAGCGGGAGATAAATCTGAGAGACTGCAAACAGAATCCACCCACATTTTCAGGAGTAATGGAGCTGTCACTGGCTAAATCTGACCCCACAGTAACCCCCCAGGGGGGCAATGATACGGAGTCCATCCCTCCACAGGAAGGAGGGGGGTGTCTGTAGCAGAGAGAAGGGGGGCACGCCTGATGATAACAGTCATCTTCAGTGAGTGAGGGAAAATAGAGGTCATTGTGTCACCGTAAGCCCATTGGGGGACAGTTTTTGTGCATGTGTGTTTGTCTGTGCGTGTAAAGATGCACAGAGAGTGACTGGGATGCAGGAGTGATTGTTGATGCTTGGATGGAAGCTGATGAAGCCGCTTCAAGACGATAGAAGAAACATTACAGCATCTCCTGCAAACCAGTTGAACCAACCCGCTGCAAAGTAATGAAGACCAAACAAAAATAAAATAAAATAATCATAAAGTAACAAAAATACCTGCAGAATATGTTCCACATATTGATAGCTTATGTGTCCTAAAATAGGATGGGACTGAAAACCGGTCAAACACTGAGTTTAGGGGAAAATGTGTGTTTAAGTTTGGAGCTCCACTGCCACACTGAGTGCATACTCGCATTTCAGATATCATTATCTCTGGGAAATGATTATCCCTTACCAGAATATCATACATGCAACTGTTCTTTAGCAGTTCCACAGCCAATTTGGTGCCCTATAGGCAAGATTCCAGGTGACATCCCCTGTGCAGTTTTTTTAAATCTCACTATCAGTTTACATACATTCACCTACCAAATTACATCATTTTGTCTTTGATATTTTTTATCTTTAGAAACCAGGTTGTCCATTTCACATAGTTAATATGATTCATTTGAAACAGAATACCAGACTTTTACCTCATACCTGCCAACGTCTGCTGACAACAATGAGAAACACCTGCTCATGTTGACGAGCAGCTGTGGAGTGAAGCAGTTCTAGGGGGGAGGGGGGGTCCAGGGGTAAACTTCTCTGGAAATTTTTTGTGAATGATCTACTCAAAACTATGCATTTTCCAGCCCTTTGTAGAGCATTGTACTATTTTTTTAGGAATATTAAAACATAAAATCAGTATTTTATAATCCTGAAAATCATCTTATGATCGGGCTGGGGTGGTTTGAACCCCAGATGCAGGACTGAAGGAGTTAGGTTGCAAAATGGGCTTTATTTACAAAAACAAGTGTTTTTCCCTCTTTTTCTATTTTCTCTTTACTTAAAAAATCACTGATGATGAATAAATTAAGAAACGAATATTAAGTTCTTTTTTCTGCTGAAGTGATTTAAAAAAAGTGCTGACGTGGCAACAAGACATAAAATCAAAGATTCCAGACTTGCCATGAGACAACATCAACAGACAACAAAGATTTGAAACAGACTGAAGACAGAGAACAGAATATAAAGGAGAACTAACGAGCAGAAACAAGAAACACCTGGGAGAGAAACATAAGGAACAGGTGAGAGTGGGCGGGGCTGAAGCAACGACAGGCAGGAGGAGGTAAACAAACAAAGAAAGACAAGACAGAAAACCAGACTAGAATGAAAATAACCCAGACAAACCATAACATAACCTGAACTTTATCTGAGATAACTAAAACTTCCATTATCCTTGTTTTGTTTTCCTTTATTCACACACCGAGCACCAGTATTCAGTCTTGACTTCATTGTGATACTTTTCTCTTGAAATATCCTCTGCACCATATAACACCTCATGTAACAAAGCAGGCTGAGAAACCCATAAACCTGTGATTATTCTACAGAGTATATCAACTTTACTCTGATAAAAAAACAATAAAACATATTTTTATCCTCCATTCGTGGCACCCGCTCTGTGGATGGTCCCTAGCATTACTATATGCCACAGGCCAGCTTGTTCTTTATTACTTTAAACAAAAACAACAAAAAAGAGTATTTCAGTTTATTTTTACTTATCAGAGATATACATTTATGTGCACCTATTTGGATTGTACTAAAATATATACTAAAAGTGTACTTGGTAAATAAAATTACACTTGGGGAAATACTTTGCTACATACTTCATGACATGTACATGATGTATAGGCCACTTCTGGACGGGTTCTTCTCTAATGAAACGTTTCGTCTCTCCTCCAAGAGACTTCTTCAGTCTGAGAGTTTCAGGCAAAATTCAGGCTTTTAAGCCCTGCCTCCATGTGACTGATACTCACATCACATGGCTATCGTTGACACCTAATTAACACTTATTGTTAACAGGGGGTGGAGTGATACTGGCAATAGCAGCGCTGTAGGAGGGGGACAACTGAAAACGGAGGCCTCCACCTCTGTTTAATGATGGACGGTCTTTCTTCACAAAAAATGGCTTCTTTTACTCCTCTCTCAAACCAACGTTCCTCTCTATCAAGAATGAGAACATCCTCATCTCTGAAAGAGTGACCGCTGGCCTGTAAATGAGTGAAAACTGCAGAGTTCTGGCCATTAGATGTAGCTCGTCTGTGTTGGGACATTCTTTTGAACAGTGGCTGCTTTGTTTCCCCGATGTATAACTGGTCACAGTCCTCCTGGCACTTAACAGCATATACAAAATTGCTCTTTTTGTGCCGGATCTTTCCGTATGTTGCGGGTGTTTCGGAGAAACTGAGACGTTTATTTTCTAAACATGATGTCCCAGTGGCTTTCAAACCCCAAAACACATTACGGCAAAGGCTGGTTCACCCCAAAGATCCGGTTCCCTGGCACAAACAGAGCAATGTTGTATATGCTGTTAAGTGCCAGGAGGACTGCGACCAGTTATACATCGGGGAAACAAAGCAGCCACTGTTCAACAGAATGTCCCAACACAGACGAGCTACATCTAATGGCCAGAACTCTGCAGTTTTCACTCAKTTACAGGCCAGCGGTCACTCTTTCAGAGATGAGGATGTTCTCATTCTTGATAGAGAGGAACATTGGTTTCCATCATTAAACAGAGGTGGAGGCCTCCGTTTTCAGTTGTCCCCCTCCTACAGCGCAGCTATTGCCAGTATCATTCCACCCCCTGTTAACAATAGGTGTTAATTAGGTGTCAACGATAGCCATGTGATGTGAGTATCAGTCACATGGAGGCAGGGCTTAAAAGCCTGAATTTTGCCTGAAACTCTCAGACTGAAGAAGTCTCTTGGAGGAGAGACGAAACATTTCATTAGAGAAGAACCCGTCCAGAAGACTTGTACAATTTTTTTCTTTTTGATTTTTTTACCTGGACTACTGAGATGCATCAGGACATATGGGCCACTTCTTTTTTGGTAAGGAAGAGTAAACTATTGTGGTTGTTCAGGAGAACATTGTTTCTGTTGACACTTTGCGCTGTGGATTGCTTCCTCTTCCTCTCCTTTGGACGCAAGACGTAATGAAACGTGCCTCAAAGCATCAAAGCGTAACGCACGAGAATCTTGCACCCAATCTGTTGCCTCGGCTCCTGTTTGGTTTCTGGAGGGGTGTGTGTGTGTGTTGGGGGGGGGGGGGGGGTTGCTTCCTCTCCCAGCCTCTCCATCCGTGGCGCGTCTCCACTTTGGCTCTGGACACCGGTGGAAGCGCTCCTCACACATGCGCGCTCGCTCGCGCGCACACACGCTTTGTGCAAATGCAGCCATCAAGACTGGACTGACCGGAGAAAACATCACATCTAAAAAGGCGGGGATGGTAAGATTGATTACATTTTATTATTATTGTTATTATTATTATGTTTTTTTAAGGACCGCTTACGCACGGAGCCGCTCGACTTCACTCCGCGCGGATGAAAGAAGGAATTTAGAGGAAAACGTTTTGTTCGTGCAGAGCATAAAAGTGTGTGCTGCTTTATAAGTGTTTCAGTCTTAGTTTATGTGCAAAATTCTTTAGAATAAACTTATTTTACATCAAAAAAGCAACTATTTTATATATTTTTAGGGTTTTAACTCCTATATAATGAGATGCAATATTTGATTTACTAATTACTCAACATTAGGCTGCTTTAAAATTAGTTAGATAATTAAAAATATCAATAGAGTAAGAAAATAGTGTTAAGACTTTTTTTCAAGATTTTATTTGATTAATGGTGTGATTATATGCCATAATGTTTTTCTGTGTGCTTTTATTCATGCTGCAGCAACAAAACGTCAGTAAAAGTTGAAAATATTTCTGGTTCATTTTTCTCCTTTCGCTCAAACCAAACCAGCTGCTCTCCACGTTTGTCTGTTTTCAAACAGCGAGAACATCCAGCAGCTACCCCAGATAAGAAAAAGAAACCACAGACAAGATAAAATGACCTTTTGCTTCCTCAGTCCTTTTTTTTCCAGTGGCGACAAGATTCATCTTCTCTAGGAGGTCTTCTGTGCGACCAGGGGGTCACATGCATCTTGTGGCTCTGCTCAGGCTTTGTGAAGGAGGTGATGCTGGTTAAAACTAAAGGGAAAAAGCAGGGGGGGGGGGGGTATTGATGGATGGAGAGCGGAGCGAGAAAGACCAGCCATTGGTTTTTGCAACTCCTCCCCGGTGTTGCCACTGTTGCTCGCTCCTCTGTGTTTCCCAGGATTGATCACAAGCCTTCGCCAATAAACAGCCTCACTCTGAAGACGTGTGAACTCTCCGAGGTGCCTTAATAGAAAAATCATTGGCGCTGTCCCCATCCCTCAATAACTCGCCTCCCCAAGTCCCTCAGTCCCACCCTCATCACTAACTTCTAACCTCATTTGTTGCTTTTATTTTCCACAGAGGCAATTACCTTGCTCGCATCGACACTCTTTGCTGCTGGCTGTGTTATCTCAGCTGCGCCAGTGAATGCGCCCACTGAATTTACAACTCAAACCTGCTGGTGGAGCGGGCGCCACACAGCGTAATCTTTACTTGATCCTGTCCCCGAGGCTCTCATCCCTTGTAAGAGCTGTTATTTTATGAGGGAGGCAAATAAAAAAAAGGGGGGGGGGGGAGAAAAAAATTGGCTGAGACCATCTGAAGCTGCAGTCTCCTCCCAGCTGTTGACAGAGTGTCTATTATTTCTGATGCTGGAAGAGCTATAAGACAGGGAGGCAGGAGGACTTGCAAATCAAATTGCTTGAATCTATTGAAGCATCCGTCTTCGTTCTCCAGAGGGCAGCGGGGTGAAGAGCGGAGAGGCTCTGAGCCCTGATCATGACTGGAAAGGAAAACAAAAATCTGCCACTGAGGAATTGTCTGATACGCTTTGGTAAGCTAGCTGTGTAGAGYGGCAGAAGGATGGCAGGACTATTAAAATATCTTTTAAAGTTTCCTTCATGTTTGTACTTTCTGCACATTCGTGTTTTTCCTCTTTTGTTTTGTTTTCATCACAAATGATATTCCTGTTTCAGTCTTAAACCAGTATAAGAAACTTTTTCCCCCCACTTGATGAGTCCATGCTCATTTTTTTTAGCTGTACTCAAACAGAATGGCTCATGATGTCAGCTTGATTCCCTTCTCTCTTCCTCCCACCCCACTTCACTCACGGGGTAAACGTCTTTCGTTTGGCGCTGTTTGTGATTAATGGAACATCAAAAGCTCAGTGTGATACGTTCCCGAGGATATGAGTCTGCCAGGGACACATAAACATCATTAATGAAGAAGAGGCAGATTGGAGATAGACAGAAAGAGGGTGAGGGAGCAAACAGGAAGGGGGTGAATTTATATTTTTTGTCAGCTATGTGATATATAAACTCACCTGTGGTTGTGATGATGATTGGCTCTGCAGAGCCAGTTTGAGGTATGGACAGTTTGCACCCAGAGAGCTCTGCCTGCATCACTTTAATGTCTATGAATGAATAAATAAATGGCAGCACCACTTTTTTTTTCTTCCTAACTCCATCTGGGAAATTCACATCTCCCTTTGCTCTTTCAAGCCCAGTGGCAAAGAACTCAGAAGCACCACAAAAGAAACATCTCCACTCAAGACAGCTATATTTATCTGAGTATGTAGCTCTCTACTGGGCTTAGAGGCTTAATTACCCAGAAGTGGGGGAAGAGAAGATGAAATGTAATTATGCAACAGGGCAGAGCATCCCGAGTAGTGGTGCCGTGTTTGATAGGAGCATCGCTGCTATTTTCACAGAAAGGTCTGACCTTTGCTTCAGTCGTTTCAGTAAAAGGCCAAAAAAAAGTGCTCTTCAGGAAACAAATTCTGAACTTTTTCACTCGTAATATTTAAGCTACTTATGTCAGAAAGGATAAAAAATGGCTCTCTGGTTTTTCCTCTTGTAGATAAAACATTTCTTAAGGCGCTCTTTTTTTTTAATGTGTAGGCCTATTTGAGACGTTGTTTAACATTCGGTGGAATCTTCTGAAACTTAAATTACCACTCAGCTTACAGCGTTAGGAAGTTTTGCCCATGTGTATTTCTGCAGCCCGCTAATGCTTATAGACTGTTTCATATTTAATGCAACGATTTTCTCCTCTCATTAAAACATGGAGGAAAAAAGCTGCACGGCTGCTGAAATGTGCTGAAGAAGCTAAACTGTTAAAGTTGTTAAAAGTGGGGGAAAAAACTGAACGTTAGCTAAAGGAGAAAAATGTTTGCCAAAATGCTAAATAAAGCAAAAGATGCTAACTAAATGGAGCAAAATACAAGCTAAAAGTTCAAAGTACCAAAATGCTAGCTCACAGCATTAAAATGTTAGCTAGAAGCTAAAAGCAGCAAAATATTAGTTATGAGTTAAGTAACAAAAGCCTAACTTAAGGCTAAAATTGCACAATGCTAACTTAAAAATTAAAGTATTTGATGGCAACCTAAAAGCTAAAAACAGCAACTTTAGGCCTACCTAAACAGATTCAAGCTAAAAGTAACAAAAGAGTAAATTATGTCTAAAAGCAAAATGTTAACTTCAAATTAAAGACAYCAAAAGGCTTTCTAGAAGCTAAAAGAAGAACAGTAAGAAAACAAAAAACAGATGCTGAATCAGATTTCACAGAAAACAAGGTTTTAGAAGGAATTCAAGATATTTCAGAAAATGATTATAAAAATATTTAGAAATTTACAATTAACTAAAAATAAAAGTTCATAGAACCCGTCCCGAATGAGCTGAATATTTTGATATAAGAAAGGCTAAAATAGCACAAATTACTCAGACTGGAAAATAAAACGTGCAAAAAATAAAACAAAGTGAGGGAGTTGGTGTGAATGCTTGATCGGCATTTACATAATTATGTGTTTGAGTGTGCATTCTGGACTTGCAGGAACAACCTTCTGATGTCTCTTGAACAGTAAAAGACCATCGGTAAAATCCTGCAGGCTAAATGTGTGGAAGCTACACATGCATGAAACTTTAAGAAAAAAAAATCGATCAAAATGAAATCTCATTTAGTGTCTCTGTGCCTTCCCGGTGGCCTCAGCGTGAAGGATGTAGAGCCAGAGGTGGGGGCAGGATGGAGTGCTCCTGGAAGACGGTTCTGCTGCTGGTGTGTGCGTCTCTGGGGGTCCAGTACACGGCCATCCGAACACTGAGGGACTCGCTGTCCGGACCCTGCCRGGGGGCCTACAGGTGCCGGAGCAGACACCACGGAGGTACAAGCTTGTAACAAATGAAAATGTTAAACGTGTATCTCTTTCATGACAGAAAGCACTGAAATCATCACTGTTCCTCATGCTAAAAGTTAAAGTGAGGAAGCTGAGTGTTAAATAAGGGAATTCCCTCTAAGTGGCTTGGATAGAAGAGAAATATGCGTGATTTGTTTGGCAATTATCCTCCAATTTATCTACTTTAATACCCTCTCACAGCACAGATGTAACTTGCCAGAGATGAGCTCCTGTGTACCAAAAAAAAAAAAAAAAACCATCCCCTCTGCAATCAACTCTTCATCAGCAGTAATTACACATTAGCTATTTGCTCTATATTTAGAGATCCGCCATTTCATAAACCCCCTCTGAAATCACTGGCAGACAAGCAGCTTATCATGCATATTTACCCTCTGAATTATTTAGGCTTTATTGGCTTTATTCAGTCGTTTTCCTGGGTTATATATTACTGTAGTTCACTTTTATGAGCTGGAGTTATTCTTCTGAAATGAGAGAAATAGATTTTATTTTCCTTCARAGCTTGAAATAATCATAACCCTGCGTAGTGGAACGGGTTATTTGAGGCTGTAGGATGAAATGCGTAATCGTGAACCGTTTCTTTTCTTTAGATTCCAGATGGACGACTTTGTGTGACGACAGCTGGATGTCCATGGAGTTTCCTCAGAGGCACATCCTGCTGTTCGCCACGACGCGCAGCGGCTCCTCCTTCACCGGGCAGCTCCTCAACCAGCATCCCGGGATCTTCTACGTGTTCGAGCCCCTCTACCATGTCCAGCAGGCCTTCACCAACTCCAGCAGCAGGCTGCGGCGCACCTTGGACCGCCGGGCCCTGCTGGGAGCGTACAGGGACCTCCTCCTGAACCTCTACACCTGCGAGCTGCGCTTCATGGAGAACTACATCCGCCCAGAGCCTCAGGACCACGTCACGAGCGCTCTGTTCAGGCGCAGCTCCAGCCACGCCCTCTGCTCCCCGCCCGTGTGTSCAGACGGGGCGGACGCCGTCGAGCCGCCCGACGAAAGCTGGTGTCYGAAAAAGTGCGGGGCTTTGAATCTCACTTTGGCCTCCGTGTCGTGTCTGTCCAGAGGACACGTAGCCATAAAGACCGTGCGGATCCCTGAGGTGGGGGACCTGCGCACTCTGACCGAAGACCCTCGCCTGGACCTGAAGATCATCCACCTGGTCAGAGACCCCAGAGCCATCCTGGCTTCACGCATAACGGCCTTTTCTGAACAGTTTCGCGCCTGGAAGATATGGAACGTGACGGGACGGCAGCCCCGGTACGTGGACCTGTCGCAGATCACCAGCACCTGCAAGGACATGGCGGCCTCGGTCGAGACCGSCCTGCAGAGACCGGCGTGGCTGAGGGGGCGCTACCTGCTGGTGCGGTACGAGGACTTGGCCCTCAGCCCGGAGACCCGAGCGACGCAGATCTACAGGTTCGTCGGGCTGGAGATGGAGGACAGGGTGAGGGCGTGGATCGCGAAGAACACCAACAGTAACGTGTCGAACCCGTCCGAGTGGAATTACAAATACTCCACCAGCAGAGACTCCAGAGTCACGGCAGAAAGCTGGAGGCTTCGGCTGAGCTTTGACATCGTGAGAACGATTCAAAACCTTTGCAACGACACTCTGGCTCTGCTGGGATACAGGCAGGTTCAGTCTGCCGCTGAACTCAGAAACGTGTCACACAGTTTGGTGGAAAGCAGGACTTTTCTGCCCGTCACGTGATTTTAGTTTCTGTTTTTTAYGCCTCGATTTATGCTGAAGTTTCAGTCTGTCGAGATGCCGGTAAAATGAATGTGTCTTATATGAACTTTGACTGAAGTTAATAAAGAGGATCAGTGTTAAAAGTGCCAGAACACACATCAGAATAATTTAAGTAACCTCATTGAAACAACAGCTGCACTTTGACTTATTTAATACAAAAATAAACTGGGTTCTTGTACCAACACTTCTTTTATTTTATCCTTAAATTATTGTCTGATACTCCCTTTTCAAAATCAAAACATAACTTTTTTATTTTATTTATTAGAAATTAGGTACGTMTGGAAGGATCTAAAAATCAGAGATGTAGAAACTAAACTCTCATTTTCTTCTGGGTGTAAAAGTTTCCTGATTCCTGCTGCTCTAAAAGAGGGTTTCTTGCACATTCTTGTTTCATTAATGCCTTAGAAAATAAACACTGAGCACAGAAAAGAAGATAGCCCTAGTTGCTTTTTCAAAATGTAAGATGATGATTTGGAAACTGCGTTTTTGTGTGGGATAGGTTTTATTTAACCTTTAACGCCTTCCATATAGGGGATTATAACATTTTGAAATTATTCTCTTTATGTGTTGATGCAAAAAAATGTTGAATTGCTAAAAAAACATAAATCTTTAATGCTGTATGTCAGATTAATGCTGCATTAATTTGTACACTGAGTTTTAAGTTTATAAAACTCAACTGGAACTCCATCCAAATTTGGATTTCTGACTCACAAAGTCAATTTATTGTGTCTGACTCGAGTATGAAAAAGTTGTGAAAGCTGCTGTTATAAATCTTTTGTTTACATTTTTTACTGTACTTTTTCATTATTAAACATGYTGTTGCAATATCCGAATGCAGATAATGCAGAGAAACCGCGTGTTATCGGCCTAYAGTCTGCTTTATCCCGAAGCACAACTGTTAACAAACCGTACTGGTTTTCTGAGTTGCAACTGGAACTCTGTAAAGTCRGGTCTGACCTCATTCCCAGATATGAAGTTAAAAGGAAGTGCAGCTTCAGGCCCCGTCCACACTACTCTGGAGATTATTCATCTTTGAAATGTTTGCACCTCCTTTTACACACAAACCGAGCTCTTTGCTTTTCAGTAAATTATGCTAACGCTCACGAAACTGTTCTCACAAACACGTATGAAACTCTTTTTACTGGTTTTTCCTGCTTCTGTCTCTTCATCCCAGTCCTGTGCTGAATAACTCAGAAAACTGTGAAGGTGTGAGAGAATTATTTTCAGCCAAACTGAGTGTTTCTCTGTTTTGATATGTTAATGTTCTCACTACATAGTGGTGTGGGTATTTCAGCATTTTTTCTTAGGGATGGAGAAATAATTCTAATAAAAAGGGAAAATATTGTAATAAATGCTTGAAACAGTTTATCCATGTCAATTATGGAGACAAACGGTTCATTTTTTATCATTATTTTATTTTCAGATGACATTCTCATTCTGGCGTTATCTGGAGCTGTTTATAAGGGGTGTTGTGTAAAAATGCAGATTTCATTCTCTTTGGATTTCCTGTGAATATTTCCCACCTTGAATCTCTGGAAGACGAGCAGCTGAGTCAGGGTGCAAAAACAGCAGCATTGCGTTTTGCATTGCTTCATTTTCTGTCCTGATGGCTGCTTTGTTGTTTTCTGATTGATAAGTTTGATTAGTTCAGCTACATGTTTCAACGTTAGCACGAGAAGCCTTCATTTGTTCTGACGTGTAGGAAAACAAAGTGATTTCTGCTTTATCCTGTTGACTGAAAAAAAAAACTTTTACATTTCCAGTAAGACAGAAAATCTCCCACTATCAGCTTCTGTTCTGTGCTGTGGCTCCAGTACACGTTCACACATTCTTCCAACATTTCCCAATTCAAAAAAGTGAGACCAAAATTTTTTTTAACCATCTCAAAAAATGTGACTGATTTTGCACAAAAACAGCATTCATGACATCGACAAATAAGAATTAATGAAGACATTTTTAGTTTCTTTACCGTAAATATTTCAAACTGACAACACATCATGGTGCAAAGCTCTCAGCTCGTGATTTCAGAGGCCTTTTGATTTTATTTTATTTTATTTTATTTTATTTTATTTTATTTTATTTTATTTTATTTTATTGTTTAAAGCTGCTGTTTGGGTTGGTGCTGATTAGAAGTTCTGGTTTTGTTGCGCCAACCTGGAAACCTTCCTGGAGTTCGGGACCTCTCGCAGGTCTCACAACAGAGTGAGCTCCAGTGAGTTGTTGATTTTTCTTTCTTTTATTATTATTAAAATTGTTTAGCTTTTATATGGTTATTTGCAGAAGGACAGAAATACGTTTGATGATAATAAAGCAAATAAGAATTCTTGCAAAGACGAATGATTAATTTAAGCCAAATTATTGGATTTAATGCTGAACTGTTTCCAGTGAAACTCCTAAAATGGCACATGGTGAAACGTTCGACACTGCTCAACAACTCCAAGATGTTATTTATTTATTTATTTATTTATTTATTTAAATAAAACTTGGGTCCTTATTGTAAAAAAAAAGTGTTGCAGCTTCAATGTTACATGGTGGACATGTTTAATCATCTTTTTAAAGACCTTTTAAAATAAACTATCTACATGTGAAAATGACTTGTTTGATGTGTTTAATTTACTTGTAGCACCAAACTGGGCGTGTATTTATACTCCATGACTGAAGAAAAAGAGGAAAAGTCAGACTTTTTTTGTTCAAATTGTCCTCTTGCTTCGTCCCTCTGATGAATCTTGGGTAACTTCTGTTTTTGATGCAAGAAAACATTAATTTATCTTTGAAGCTCACAGGGATGATATCAGTATCAGTCAGCCTCTGTCTGCTGCGCCGTACGGTCAGAGATTAGACAGCTATAAGTTCTGTGTGTACTTTGTGTCCAAACAGAAAAAAAGGATGTGTGCCGTTTCCAAGCACCAGACTATTTTTTTTAACGCGGAGCTGCTGTCTCGAGATAAACACTGTTTGTAGGGAAACTCATTGCACAAACTGTAGACAAACCACTGACTGACTGTGATTTTCTTGTCTTTTGAATGTGAACATTGCATTTAAAAGGCAGTGTTCACATTCCTACGGAGGCTGCGATTCTCTCCTGCTGGTAGCTGCGAGCTTTCTTGCTCATGATGCTGATGAAAGCCACAACAGAACGATGGAAAGTATGCAATTCCACTACAAGAGTCACGCTGCTTTGTAAGTACTATTAGATGTGAGGTGAAATTGTCCCTTTAATAATGTATTTTTAGACACCCAGTCCTTCTCATCTTTCCTGTGGCTTCCCTTCAGATGCTGACACCAGGGATATCTCAGCACAAAGAATTGATCTACAGATTCAGCTGAGGGGAAACAGGATTTAAGATGCATTGAGAAAAGACCAGCCGCCTTTCTTTGAACTTAATCTGCTGGGCTACACAAACTGGCCATAAAGCAAAGCTTTATGACACCCGAGGAGATGTGCTTCATCGGTTTTTCCATCCCCACCCCGACACACAAAGCTGCGAGTAGCCTGAGTCAGCTGTCAGCTAATTACCCAGTTCTTCTGCACTCAATACAGGCAACGCCTTCCTGTCTTCTTGAGTGCGCTGATAAATTCAGGTCTTATCGTTGCAGGAAACAAATATGAGGTGGATGCTGGGAATGGGAAATGCAAAAAAGCACACCATTTATCAGGGGTTCCCACCCTCACCGAGCTATCAGACGGTAAAACGGGGCCAATTTTTGTTTCTCGAAGCGACATTGTGTTGACCCAGAAACGTGTAGTCTTTAAAAAATCAAGTGGATTAGAGATAGAGATAGATAAACACAAAATTTATAATGGCTTGTTTATTCAGTGAACCAAGTCATTGTGAGGCCTAATTAAAGACACTTTTTGAAAACAAAATAAAATAAAATAATTTATCAAGTTTATCAGGCTGTTTTGTTGAGTTTATCCCGATTTATGGGTATTAAATTCCCTAATGCGGGTACGCACTCAATGCAAACAAACTATTTAGCTGTAGTGATGTGCGGATCGATACTAAAAACATCGATACCACCAAGAACTTAATGCTCAAAATCAATTCTAAAATTAAAATATTGATTATTTGATACTTAAATAATTAAAGTAATGTATACCAATAACTGTAACAAAGAGGAAAGGAACTAAACTATTGAAACCTTGACTAAAACATACGCGGTTGGTGGGAACTACTTTTTCTTCCGCCATGCTCAGTATTTCCATATTATGCTCACGTAACATAAATGAAGATGCAAGTTTTCCTTTTCATGGTAGTTCTTGATAAATAAACAATCATTTATTTTAACGCTTTTAATATTTTACTTTATTTTTTAAATATTTTTCTGTTATATTAGCTTGGTTATATTGTAAATAAGTAAATCAATATACTGTTTAATTTAAAATGAATACATAAGTTATTTTGATGTCTTGTTTTCTTTATGAAGCTATGATTTTAAATACACTACTTTTTAAAAATTTAATGTCTTCGATACCAGCCTGAGTTTTACCTGATATCAGAAATGGATAGTAAATCAGTGGTATTAAGCTTCAAAAACCACAAGAAATATTCATCTTTTGTATGTAAACAAAATGTCACGGTGGAAATATGAGTGAATCTGCTAAATTATCTGATGTTTTGATTCCAAACATCTCTTCTACCACCTAAAAAAGTAATTTAAATTTGCACATAGCAGTTTGCTTCTATTCACTGCATTTGCTTCCAAATTTTTAATCGGAGGACACATTAATTGTCAATATGAAAATAAATCAGCAAACTTTGAACTTTCCTTCATGATGTTGCGATGAGTAACTTCAAGCAAAGGTCCCAGACGAGGCTGTGGTTTTTTCAAGGCCAAGCTAAATCGTGCGAAACATCCACTTGAGTTTTGAAATTTTTCTTTTAAAAAAAATCTTCGTGGCAAGTAAAAACTCAAATATCTCCAGCTTGTTGCTCCAGACTTCTTCTTGTGATTTTTTTTATTCCCTTTAATCCATCTCCCAACAGACCCTCCAACTGAAAGATTGCCAGGAGAGATAATGTGTGAATGTAGCAGATAATCTTCCAAAACATTTACCGCAAGTGTGCCAGTAAGCGATGCGAAGTGATGGTAAGAGCTGAAGCTTTTCTGCTGACCTGCACGTTGCTCTCCTATATTGTGGGTACATTAACATACATGCCGTATTGAAACTGACACAGATGCAATCATCTAAGAGCTTCAACTTCTGCTCGAGGTGCTGTAAACTGCAATTTCCTCCGAGTACTTTTTGCATGGTGACCTTTGAGAGTAGCGTATCTTGAATCGGTAAGTAGACAGACTCAGCAGACATTTTGACTTCCTAATTTTTCACCTGGAGCATTGTGCTGGCATTAAAGGAAGCGCTGGTGAACGGCTCATCGTACTCAGCAGACTGAAGCTTCTCTGTCAGACTGGGTGGGTTTTAATTATTAACAGCTCCACTCACATATGGGGTCCCCTCCAAAGGGTCTGTATTCGATCCAGTGCTATTTTTCTTTTCCTTCTGCATGGTTCCAACTGAATCAGTTCTTAATAAATGTGAAATTCTGGTACGTTGCTATATCAATAGGGCTAAAATTGATATTCCCTTTAAAAAAGAAAAATGAAAAAGAAATAAATTCTGTCTCTGTGAGTGTTTTCTAAAAGATATTAAAAAATAGCGCCCGTTTCTCAAATTTCTTCACCGAAACTAACAAAGCAGGATCCTCTGCCCTTCATGTTCCACAGTAATCCTCTTGGTCTTTTGGAAACTTGGAACAAATTGTTGCAGAAATTTGGACACCTTTTCATTTGGTGCACAAAGAACTGCAGAGAACGGCTTTTCTCAGCTGAGGTCCTGTTCCTGCTCAGGGTCACGCAAGACTTTATTAAGGTTTTAATACGATTTTACTCGGACCATTTTACAACAATGCAAACAAAGAAAGGGCTGCTTCCTTTAAAGGAATGAACATCCGCCGCATTTTGTTCCAGAGGTTTAGACTGAGATCTCCCTTTGATGAGAAGGGATGGAGCTGTGACCATTTTGGTCAAATCTAGTAAATTATAATCTGCATAAAGTCATGTAATATTGTGGGATCTCACAAAATGTGTGATTGTTCAGAAGATCTGCATCAGGGATGGGCAATTGAGGTGACTTCTGTCTGGCCTTACACTGAGCACCCCCCACCAACATAAAAAGCACTCATAGCAAGCTTTTAAAAAAATCAAAATTAAAAATTAGATATATTTTGGAGGTATCTATTCACAAAATTTCATGGGTAACATATGTGTTTAGTCTCCTTAGAGAATGTGTCTGCTGACGGAAATTTTGTCACTAATTAACTAAATTTTAGTCTTATGTCTTATTTTTGTGGTTGAGTTCAGTCATTTACTTAAACAGTGATAGAATCAACATGTCTCTACATAATACGTGTGTTCCTCCGCAGGATAAACAAAGACGTATTTAAGGTTTCCGGTTTTCCTGGTGTAAAACGTACCGCCCCTAAGGGTGTGATCAGGGTGCTCTTAAATATTTGGGGTTTGTTAGGGACATGTAAGACTTTAAGCGTAACCAGACAAAAGTTAGAAACCATTGTTTTTGTGTTCTGATTAGACTCAGGGTCACACAGACGGTGGCTCTGAGCATGAGAGCTGTGAAGTAAACCTTTTTAACTGAACTTTCTAACACTGCCATAAGGGATTTTAGTATGAGTCGCCACTACAACACGTTGCACAAAGCTAAATATGAGAATTTTACTTACTATATTTATTCGAGTACAATACGTAGAATTAAATCCATAAAATCATCCACAAAGTTGGGGGGTAGTACTATACTCTGACAAATATTTTTACTTATGTATTTTAACTGAAATATCGGCTTCATTCACAAAATGCCTGAGTCCAGAAATGGGACCGCGTCGTAAAAAGCAGTTGAAACAAGCTTACCTCTGACACTCCTCTGTGCTTCAAAGCGAGATAATAACAGATCCAGGCAGGCGACATGATGTGAAAATAAGGGGATAAAAGTATTCCTGCACCTTAGTAATGATAGCGAACTAATGACATAAGCGTGTGACCAAGCCGCTCCTCGAACAACAACAAACACATGTTCGTCTGTAATGGCTGCCGTGTACCGGTGTTCTGAAAAAGTTTGTATCCCTGAAAAAAGTTTCCCCACCAGAGGGGGCGCTTGTGAGTAGGAAGTAATCTGCTTTTCCCCCACAAGATGGCCCAAATCTCATG